TCCTTGGTAAACTTTGTTTCGACACCAGCCAGGGTAGATGTACTATTACCTCTCTCATTTGGTTCAGTGATCTCAATTCTTATTTTGACCTTCACTATGGCGGCCTTTCAAATTGACCTAAGTCTATTTTCTCCCCTCTTACCTCTTTATTAATTTCGGATATATATATATATCACAGGTCCGTGTGTGACCAGATTGTTCGAAATGTGTTGCGCAAATACATACATCACACGATTCAGACAAATTCCGTCCTCTTGTTGCTTTGTCTAAATTCATATAAAGGGAACTAATTGTCTTATATTTGAAAATAAGCCATAAATATACGATTATTTAGCTTGATAATAAATTCACTGAAAAGCATCCCTCCTCGGAACCATTCGGTTTTATGTCCTGATGAGAAATTTACCATGAGCAAACCAAAAGTCATTGATTGAGATGTTACTGGGAATCAAGCATGGAACCTTAGACAGTCAAGTATCTTTGATTCGTTACCATCTCAACAGTTCCCAATCATCTGTCTCTTTGAGAAAGTGAATTTGTGGTGAGAGCTGTCTGCTAGCCAAAATTGTAGGCACCAATTTACGTCAATGTTTATGTCCCGAATCGGGGTCACGAGATAAAACAATAACAAGGCCTAAGCTTGAGGAACTCAACAACCAATCACAGCAGACTTAACGTGTGTAAATAAGATTCGCAAATATATGGCCTAACTTTCTAAGAAACTGCAACAAAGAGATGACAGCAGGAAAGCAAGCAATCAGAAGACGTTGCTTCTCTGCTAACAATAGCGCTAATAATAATGTACATAAAAATCTATAAATATGTGTTGATTTTCTCAATAAACAATCTGTTGCCTGGTCCTTGTCTTCTGTCGTTACAAATTTCAAGTGTCTCCTTGCAGTAAAAGTAGGATTACGGAAACACCTTGTTTTATGACAAATAGAGTCAAACACCTTCAACTAGAAGACTGTGTAACGGTTATATTCAATTGACACCTAAAGCAGAGTCACTTCAATGATGAAATACTACGTGGCTGTCATAACAGAGGCTTCTGCTGGAACAGGCTGAATTAAGGGAAATCATATCACTCATGGACTTAATTGTCAGAATAGCCATAATCAACTATTAATCCTAAATTCCTCGAGATTCAAAAGGCGACTGACAGCATCGACCATAAAGTAATACTATGAAGTGGAGTGTCACAAACAGCTATAGGATGATGGTCCAACACACCAAGCAATTCGTCAAAACAGAAGGCTCACTGAAGCATTTGAAGTGAAGTCAGGAGTAAGACAAGGCGGTCTACTGTCACCAATGATCTCCTTTAAATGCAGTAAGCCAGATGATGCGTCAGACAAACTTCTGATCGACAAAATGATCCTAGAATATCTTGATTTCGCAGATGATTTTCATCTCATGTTGCACACAGAGAAGACAGAAGTTGACGAAGGCACTCGACTTACAACAACATTTATCGATTAAAATCGGGAAGCCATCCCAGTGGTATCCTTTAAAATACAGGTGGTGTCACAGGTGATGTTGTCAAAGTCAGCCAGGATGGGGAAAACAATACAGGCGTATACTACTCTGAAATCATTGGAGAGATCTAGAGCATTTAGCACAAAGCAGAGAATGTGAATTTCCAGCACTAATATCAAGTCATTCAGCGCCTCCATAAGATTCAAACACTTGGTGGGTGGTTGTTAACAAGCTCTGATTTCCTCCTCAAATGACCAACTCCGTATCGTACATTCAAAGTAACACGGAACTTGTCGTCTCCTAATCGTATTCCACTCGACGGCTTCCTTAGCGCACATCCGATGCATCTGCATTTCCCTGGGGATATTTCGAAGGTAACAGGTTCTTAGTTGGTTCATCTCCTTACCGAGTTCCTTATAACTAATCCTTTCTGGCCATCTGATCTTCAGTAAAGAGCTGAGAAGGTAGCTGTCGCTGAAAGCCTACAAGAGGTTGATGGAAATACTTTTATCATAAGACTCCAGATCTGTGAACTATATTCATTCATTGTGCAAATATGTCTGAATAGAAATAACTCGCTTTAGTTAGCTGAGACTCAATTTCTCATGTTAGAGAATATTACTTTTATTTTTTAAAAACAACTCCACACTACTCATAAGTAGCAGTACAGGCGATTTATAATACGCATACAACATTCAGGGATATGAATTCATTGTTTGAAAGTCACTTTCATTTTGATGTTAGACAGCGATAGGCTTTTCCCTTGAGTACGATTTCTTCTCAGCCATATATCACTGACAACATTACTTCACAGGATTTCATCGGCAGTTAGAGAATCATTGGAAATCACCAAGGAGTACTGGACAGTTGTTTCGTCACCTGAATACCAATGAGACGCTCACTAGCGACTGGCCCTATTTAGGGAGTTACCTGGGGTTCTGGTGGGAAGTCGTGACCAGTAGGGGTGCAGCAGGTCAGGCATGAGGAAAAATGCTCGCCAGCGATGATATTGGCTAGTGCCAGTCGCGCTATGTCGTGAATTGGAAAAAGTTGGAAACAATGGGCTAGCCATTGGATAGGGTCCCAGTGGCTTAATGGTCTACAGGCTAGCTCGCTAGCCTTGTAACCAGAAGGTCCTGAGTTCGAACCCTGGTGGTGAGTGCTTATTGTTGGTGTCCCAGACTAGACTGAGGAAACTGCTGTCTGTCCAGTACTCCTTGATGGTTTTCCAATGGTTCTATAACCAATGTCAGCTCATGAAGAAATCCTGTAACCAATCAATCAAATCCCTACAAACTAATACTTGGATATTATGAAAGTTGGTATATAAATGTCTGTTGAAAACATGGTTTCATTCCGGTGTGAGGCATGGATAGTAATCATCAAGAAAATAGTTCAAAATTATAAAACATTGAGCAGGTGATTCTTTCGATTTTTTGTGGCCATAGAACGAGTGATGGCTAAGATAAGGCTGGATCGATACACCCCGCGCTTAACGCTACATTGCTTTCCTGGAAGGTTAGAATTTCATTTCTTGTAATGTCCATTTCCCCTTCGCTTAGATGATTACAAGGCTAACAACCATTATCCTTCTGATTGTGGTGAACTGTATCATACACAGAAAGCAGGTAGTGAGGAGACGAAAATACATTGTATCTAGAAAAGCAACCTAAAACGTCTGAATTTCGCACATGGATTTTGTCTCATGTTATCTTAACTATTTGTCTGGAGGGCTAAAGAAGACAGGACGTCAGCTGAATATAGGAGAAAACAGACATGATGAAGGTATCCGACCACAGTCAACAAATATCAGTTACCATCAATGCGAGAAATCTACCTAGGCACGATTGTTTCAACTACGTACAGGCGGCATGGATAAAGATGTCGAAGGTAGTCAAGATCTAGGAAAGGCAAGACTGATGTTCATCACTCTGAAGTCAAATGTCACGATGGTCGGCATGTAGCGCAACAAACAACATATGAATATAAAATACTAAAGTGAATCTAATCGATGCTTTTATGTGGTTCACATACTTGACGCGCTGTTCACTTAGCTGCAAACTCAAGATTAGATGACCGATCTACCAGAAAGGATAAATAACAGTGAAACCCTGCGAGTCAATGAATCAACCAATTACCTGAAAAATATTTAGAAGGAAATAAAGATGGGTCAGACATACACTGTAGAGACCTTGGAGTGACATCCTATGGCAGGTACTTGAGTGAAACCTGGGTGAGAATCGACGATTTGGGCATCCAAGGATGACATAGAGATAATTTGATGAATAAGAAACAGAGGCTTGTGGGCAGTCGTGAAGCTAGTTGAAAGTGATGCCACAGGAATCAAGATGTATTGCTGACAATCATATGTTCCACTGTGAATACAAGACATGGATAATAATAATAACTGTAGTCCTACAGAAGGTTAATATCACGGTTCAAAAAGCCTGATAGGAACGTCTTCGACTGAATTCCCGAACAGATCAAGCAGTGACTGTTGAAGCATAGCACATGTCCCAGTCGGTCGATAAAGATTTACGGGCACTGCTTAGGGATTCACATGCCTATGCCTCACTGTTAATTATCATCCTGTTGTGTCTAACGTTGATAGTAGAACAAAAACGCCTTAGATCAATCAAAAGTTTTTCATGTCGCTTACTTCCAACATCCCTTTCTCATAAATGTAAAGCAGCAGTCATAGTGTGGTGACAGCTCTCTGCTAACCAAATTGGTAGACAGTAATTTACGTCAATGTTTATGTCCTAAATATCGGTCATGTGAATACAAGAACAAAGACTGACTCAACAACCAATCACAGCAAACTTTGCGTGGGCGAATACAATTAGCAGATAGATGATCTGACATTAAAAAAACGGCCACAAAGAGATGAAAGATTAACTTTCAGTGAGAAACAACCAATCGCAAGACTGTGTTTTTCTGCTAACAGTAATCTATAATATTGTATATGAAAATCTATAAATATGTGATGATTCCTTTAATGAACGATTTGTTGCCTGACTTTGTCTTCTGCCGTCACAATAGAACTGCTGCGTCACATATATGTCCTTCAGCAGGTAGTGAGACATCTCAATGTTTCATTCCTTTGAGTCCTGAGTGGGACATAGGGATTTGAGCTTGAGACTGGAAGTTTCACTAGTGGTGTGGGTTCTTTTAACAGGGATAGGTGACCAGCTTAACAACCAACCTCCCCACTTCTTCAGGTCCAATTACCACTGGCTGACTGAGGTAGAGGAGTTAGTTGACAAGAAATCGAACCCCAGGCTACATATGAGTGGTTGGCGAAAATTTTGCACGAATTGTGTCGAAAATGCCAAAAGAGAGTTTTGTGTCACCGCCGAGATTTTTATAACTCACTGATACTGATGAGACTTTCGAAACAGACGAATTCATATCCATCACTACCTTCATAATAAAATTAAATAAGAATGACTGCGGTAAGGTTCGAAACCTTGACCCTATTGCTTCAAAAAACGATATTTTCGAACCAAAGTATTACTCACCTTGTAAACGAAAAGTTCAGTTCGTTTAACCGCCATAAAATAACGACGATACACCTTCAAACCGAATTTCCTTGGCTTACAGATCTTCACATAAGTGTTCAACTCTGGTAGACCAGGATCACTGTCATTTGTATCCTGTAACAAGTCACTTCCCCCATCCATATTATCCAACAGACTTAATGGACGTGGTGATCGTTGTCTTGGCCTTGAACGATGCTGTGTCTTAATTCCATCTGATGGTAGACAACCATCTGTATTCTCTAGACAATTCATTGACAACTCTTCAAGCATAGCATCGATTTCACTATCCAACTCTACTGCACTCATTGGTCTAGATAGTGTTTTTATATGCCGACCTGTGTGTAGATACCTACCGAGTGGAGAGATATCACGATTGTGTATCACCATTGTTGATGTTATCTTTTTCATATTTGTCTTACAGTTCTCAGCAATACTCTTCTCCAGCAGATTATCGAGTAATTGATTTGTACCGTTAGCTGTGGTATTGGCGATGGCTGTGGTGTTGCCATTCATCTCTTGGCTGTGTGATAGATTTTCATCGTTTAGTAGGGCTTCTTGTTCAGTGGCCAGTTCAGCCTTTAAAAACAAAAATAAATATGGAATTAAAATCGATAAAATGCACGGAATTTTCAGCATGTGATACAATCAATATTGCAACTAGTTTCTTCATTACGACGGAGGTAATAATTAAAATTGGGCATCTACATTGATAATATTGTTAAATAAGAATATGAGTATTAAATTAAATTCAGCGGAAATATTAACAACAATGTAACCATGGAAACGAAATAAGGCTATTTACTTAGAGTTCCTCAACAGTAAGTTGGTAATCTCCTGTCTTACCCATTTCGCATCACATAAAATGTGTCCCGGCCCAAGTAAGGTAATGTAAAGTTCTTGTACCTAGTCATCTGATCACACAGTCTTGTATAGTTGCTTCTAGTTCTACACAATGAGAAAGATGCAAATTGAGAGTTGTGTATGGAGAGGATATTCAGAGTCTGAAAAGATAACATTTGCTAATTTATTCAAGGAATCCATGTGTTTATCTGCAACAGTATTAACGAGTTGGTTTAGCGACACCTCACTTGCCTTATTGACGCCTTTCATTGCCCTACACAGTATAACAAAGTCTTTCTAAAGAATCCCGAGAAAGATTAAGTTGTGAGGGAACGATAGACAGAATACAATATTTAACAAACCTAGAAAGTAGAGAGTGAGTGATACCAAACTGTCTTAACTTACTTACACAGAATGTTAGACGAAACATCTTCCTGGAAACTAATATGATGTGGGGGAGACCAGGAAAGACGATTAGACGAAATACACGGTCTAAGAGTTTCAACTTCTATGCCATCTATGCTGGTAGAATCATGGGGAACAAAACAGTTCATATAGGTGGCACTTGCGTCTAAAGGTGGCATTAACAGCCTTACATTTGGACGAGTTTAGCTGAAGACCATCATTTGACAAGGACCACTGACTAATTTCTCATAAAAAGCTTATTCATTTTGGAACAACCTGTGAATGAGAGGTAACCATCATACAAACAGTCAGATTATCGAGATACTTAACAACAAAATTAACTTCGTCATTTAGAATGGGTCAAGTCATGCAAGAAGAAAGAAAACAGAAAGTGGGAAAAGGGGATCACCTTTGAGTGACCGTATTTAACAAGAGAGGCCTAGGTACAGTACAGAGTAGCAGTTAGTGGATGTGTGGAAGCAGACGGCATAATTTCATCCTATACTTCTTATATTCTCCTACGGGAACTCGATAGAAATACTTTTACACAGACAGCTTTATTATCCAATAGGACTTTTAAAACGTTAACAGTACTTTATCATGACGGGAAGATATTGGAAGAGTAGACAAGTCTAAAAGTGTATCAAGACTCAGAACGATCAATCATCACATTCTCCACTCTTGACACTGGAAGGATAAACAGTATTGATTGAAACTTTATTTTGGGCAGTGCATATTACGGTTGTGTTATCATCACCTGGATACTACGGGAAAGGGATGCTCAGTATTATATTGAACGTTTGTTATTCCCCATGTTTACTATTGATTAGTGTGTTGGCCGAGGAGGGGACATGGAAAAGATGTGTGACTGGCCAGCATTAAGCCACAGACGAACTTAGAACAACTGATACTTCCCTTCTTTCAAGTACTACATAGGTAAATTGTTGGTAGAGTGCTTACCAGAGACACACCTTGTCTCTGTCTACTCCACTCCCATATCCTCCTTCGTTTACTATCTGACAGCAGTAGTCCCAGAAAAGAGGGAAGGTTGGATGTGAAGTTGATAAGAATCCGTAACTAAGTGTTATTATCACGTCAGCAGTTGATATGACCAAGTGAACTAGATATTGATTATTCGTCTTTAGTACTTTTCTCTTCACAAAGCCACGTAAATATTGAAAGACAAAGACTGGCCTATGACTGTTACGTTTAGGACTTCTGACCGGCAACGATAAAAATAACGAAGCAGGTAACAAAAAGGATGACTACAACGATTATTTATTAGACAAAATATATTATTATTCTTTTGGGTTCCAAGAGGAATATAGAATTTCAACGACACATCAACAACGCTTTCTTCCATTTTCTGCTGTCCTCTTCAGTCGGGTAGCTTCACGATTGCCTGTAATCTGTCATCTCCTCCTCCTCCTCCTCCTCGCCACACGATCTCTTCTATGCCACTCTCTCACACACAACTCCCTCGTCGATTCCCATTAGGATTCCACTCGAGCAATGGTCTGCATTGCGCGTGACGTCATCCGACCGATGGCCTTCTCGACGTATGACCGATCCATCTCCATTTTCTCCAACATATTTGTTGATCTATTGTCTATTAGTTGGTTTGTTACCGGAGTTTCAAGTTGGTAATTCTTTCTGGCCCACTGGCTGACCGACCATTAGATCTTCAGCATGAAGCCAGTCAGTGAAGAGAGTAGTTGTTGATAAAAGTTTGCAGTAGCTTGTTGGAAATCCTTTTCATGACACGCTGGTCCAAGTTCCTGATGCATATAGAAGATCCGGCTGAGTTAACATTTTTTTTTCTTTCACCTACCCCAGTGGAATATAGGGCTTCAAGCTAGTGGCTTGAAGTTTCTGTAGCAGTGTTCATTTTACAGGATGGGAGTGCTAGCCACCTCATGCCCAACCTTTCCGCTTTACCAGCATTATTTCTGGCTTAGCGAAGTAAAGAAGTGCGTCGGCCGGACCATGTGTATGGTCGGCGGGCGTCCTAACTGCTATGCCACCGACGTACTCAGCTAACACTGGTGTGTTGAAAATCTGTTATGCACTGGTCGAGTAATTAATAGTCCTGACGCAAGAAGGAGGAAATCAGAAAACCACCAGGTTCACAATGATACTTGTATTTTTCAAAACAAGGAAAATCAATGTCACACAAGTGCATCAGCGAATGTTCAAAATGAACGGATCAATAGACAGTCTTAACGTGATTGGTTGTAATGTCATGTAACAACAAGGTCAGTCATGTTTGTTTAGTTAGTGGACAGACAAAAACATATTGTCAATCATAATGGAATATCGATCCATATATACATAGCAAAATATAACAGACTGTCAAAAACAAACACACATATTGTGTAGATACATATCAAAATCCGAATCTTCTTCTTCACACTGACTAAGTGCAGACGATTTCTAAACTGGTTTCAGGTGGATGAAGGCGTATCTTGCCTTCCGGGTTCCGCATGGTTGGCTTTGACATCTTTGGCATCCATTCCGTCTGTAGAACAAGCGACCCCACCCCAAAAAATCAATCAAACCTCCACGAAAGCTTCAACGCACAATAAAAATTTAAGCCATAAATAAACAAATCTGAATGTTTAGACAAGGAAAAAGGTTAAAGGAAAATATGATGAAATCTTACAATGAGGTCAAGGCTCATCCAACCCACAAAGATGAATTCTGCAATCACTAACCTAAAATACTGATCAACTCATTTTAGTCGCTTCCATTGCTACAGAGACTTAAAAGCTCAACTGTTGAAGCCATATGTCTCACTCGGAAGGCAAAGAAAGAGAAAAAAAGAAACAAAGATATTCACGTGGTCGCTGAACACTCAGGGAATTCCTTAAAAGACTTCTTCACGAAGGTCACTGAAAGACAGTAGGGCAAAAAGCCGAAAATATGGAAGCAGTGTGAAGTGCAGAAAGGGGTACAAAACCTATTTACACCATCTTTTTTTTTCCAGTAGAAATTAACATCACATTCAAAATTCCTACATGTAACTTAAATTATGACCCACAGAGAACACCAAAACATTCAAGTATTGGTTTGTAGGGATTTGATTGATTGGTTACAGGATTTCATCATTAGCTGACATCGGTTACAGAAGCATTGGAGAACCAGCTGGCAGTACTGAACAACTATTTCGTCCTAACTTGGGACTCTTCATTATCAGTACGCACCCACACTGTGGGGTTCGAACTCAGGACCTTCTGGTTAAAAGGCTAGCAAGCTAGCTTACAGACCATTATGTCACCTGAACAGACAGATAGGGACTCTTCAATAGTAAGTTAAAACTTCATCAGTTTCCTTTAGTTTTACTTTAATTTTTTAAAAATTGACCTTAAGTAAGAGATTAAATTACACCGGAGAATAATCTAGGACACAGTGGACTTCTTAGACAACTGTTTCTCTCCTGTTGACCTTAACTTCGCCTCCACCACCCATCCCCACCGAAATTTATGTTGAAATGGTAAAATGTTTGTTTCTACCTATTACATTCACCCTGTCAAATTTTTAATTAATGGGAGTAATTATCGTTGACTGTAGATAAAGGCTAGAATCAGCTGATAAATAGCCTTGATGTCAGCCAGCCGAAATCGACCAATCAGACAACGTGTATAGTGGAATACCAAGGTGACGCCTACGCACCACTTGGCAAGCTATACATTCAATTTTCCTGACTTTAGGGTTAGTCAACTTTATGCGCTCTTTCCCCTCGATCGATTATGTCAAGGAAATGTGTCCAGAATTAGAATAAGCCTGGATTGAGAGACAAAAACGACTTTCAATTTAATGGGATATTTTCTTTTTAAAAAAATGTCAACTATATTTTACTTTCCCCGTTTGCGTTGCATTGCATTATCCGCATTTAAAGCATTTCTAATTACTAGCATTGAAGAAATATTTATGAAGTACTTTGTTCTGTCAAACAGCTTAGCGAACAATTTTCTTCGACACTAGGTAATGACCAGTGGCATGACTCTAATTCTTCACTTCATGATTAGGTCCCTTGTCATCACGTTGAGCCTTGAATTGTTGTTGGAGGTAGTTGGCAGGAAGGCTTGGACCTAAATTTTGTGCTTGTTGCCTGACACTCACTAGTCAACAAGGTACATCTATAATCTTGCAGGAACTCACCTGTGTCACAACTCTGTGTTGCTACTATGGACATTATCTTCGAGCTAATCAGGCACGCGACTGACCTCCTGTAGGACTGTACTGGAAAGTTTGTAGCAAATGTCATGTATCAAGTCCTCCGTTTTAGTGCAGACGGACTGACTGTAGCACTGTATGATCCGGGTTAGAAT